ATTAAAGATCTCACAAAATATAATGGGCACCTATGGCATTTCATGTCTCTTTCCCAAACTCCCAAAATGTTGACATGCATGACATGCTTTGCAAAATTGATATGCACCTTTAAAAAGAGATGGCTAATATAAACCACAATCTAAGACCTTCTGCCCGGTCCTCCTAACCCCAAAATAACCACCACATGCATAAGTATGACACATCCTCAACACATCATCAATCTCAACATCAGGAACACAACTCCTAATAACACCATCACTACAAATCTCTAAAGAGTAGGTGAATCCCAAACATAGTATCTACTTTCCCTAGCAAGCTTCTCCCTAGCATGTCTAGTAATCCCATTTGGAAACACATTATGCACCAACAAATTGACCAAATCAGAACACCAAACAACATCATGGGAAGAAATAGCACATAATAATTCGTCTCTAAACTCATCACAAGGGAAATAAAAACAGGAATTCACCATAATGGAGTCATAAGACAATCGACTCAAGTGATCTGCCACATGATTTGTTGCTCCACTCCTATCAATGATCTCCAAATTGAACTCTTGAAGTAGAAGCATCCATCTAAGCAAACGTGGCTTGGTGTCCTTCTTCTTTAAAGGGTACTTCAAGGTTGCATGATCTGTAAAACAAACAACCTTGGAATGCAACAAGTAAGATCTAAACTTGTCAAGAGCAAACACTAATGCATACAATTCTTTTTCGGTTGTAGTGTAATTGCATTGTGCTTTGTCTAAAGTCCTAGATGCATATGCAATAACATAAGGTAGCTTGTTTTTCCTTTGTCCTAACATAGCCCTAACAGCAAAATTAAAGGCATCACATGAAATCTCAAATGGAATCAACCAATTAAGACTCCTCAAAAGAGGAGGGGAACAAGCTTAGCCTTCAAAGCATCAAATGCATCTCTACAACTTGGAGAGAACTCAAACTTGACATCTTTTTAAAGTAATTGAGACAAGGGATGTGCAATCTTTAAAAAATGTTTAATAAATCTTCTATAAAAACCCACATGGCCAAGGAAAGATCTCAAGTCCTTGACATTAGTTGGATAGGGCAGAGATGAAATCACTTCAATTTTGGCCCTATCCACTTCAATACCACGGCTTGAAACCAAGTGGCCCAAGACAATCCCTTGCTCAACCATAAAATGGCACTTCTCAAAGTTCAAAACCAAGTTCTTCTCCACACACCTAGCAAGGACTATAAAATCACTAAAAATACCAAACATGCATCTTTGGAAGGTCCCTGGAGCATTACACAATCCAAAAGGTATTCTTCTATATGCAAAGGTACCAAATGGGCAAGTGAAAGTAGTTTTATGTTGATCAACCGGATCAATGCAAATTTGAAAATAACCACTATGTCTATCAAGAAAGCAATAATGAGATTTCCTCCCTAATCTTTCTAACATTTGATCAATAAATGGGAGAGGGAAATGGTCTTTCTTGGTTGCCTCATTCAACCTCCTATAATCAATGCATACCCTCCAACTATTTTATACCCTAATAGGAATCAATTCATCATGTTCATTCTTTACCATAGTAATTCCACTCTTCTTGGGCACAACTTGCACCGGAGACACCCATTCACTATCACTAATAGGATAGATTATACCTGCACTCAAGAGTTTGGTGACCTCTTTCTTTACCATATCAAGTATGAGAGGATTCAACCTCCTTTGTGGCTGCTTTATTGCCTTGACATTTTCCTCTAACATGATCCTATGTGTGCAAGTTTAAGGTCTAATTCTAGGAATGTCTCCAAGTGTCCACCCAATAGCCTCAATGTTCTTCCTCACTACATCACACAACAAAGACTCTTCCATAGGCGTTAGTGAAGAAGAAACAATAATAGGAAGTTGATTACCATTTCTTAAGTAAGAATACTTAAGATGTGAAGGAAGTGGCTTCAACTCTAGATTGGGTGGCTCAATGATGCTTGAAGGGATCTTTTACACTTGAATTTGCCTTGCTAGATCCATGTCTTCCTCTTTAAGTGGCATGCCCAAGCTTCTCACAGCTGCTGTGTGAAAAATTTCGTCCAGATTGACTTGCTTGGTTCCAACTTTGTGCCTTACATCCAGATCTGATTGGCTTGCTCTAAAATTAATTCCAGGTTCGGCCAGATCTGATTCTAGACTTTCAGTACCAATTTGCACGCCCTTAAGATCATTAACAGCCCCAAAATCACTTTATTCATGCTTTTCAATTGTCCCTAAACCTGAAACATCACAAATAGAACACTCCTCCAACCTTGGAGAATGATTAGGCACAAAAGGATCAAAGCTGTCAAAATTTCCAGAATTAAATTCAGTAGAAGAAATCAAATGATGTGATGAAATATGACATGTGGAAGATGAACTAGGGCCATCATTTGATGCAATTTCACTCTCATCACTTAATTCTATCACTAAATCAATAGAATTTCTAGAATTGATACTCAAATCATCAAACTCATCTAATGCAAGCAAATCACTTAAGGAAGTATATGTTTGATCATGTGAAGAACTAGATAACACAAGTGCTTCAAATGGAGTGCAAATAGATGAGTGAGGCATATCAAGTGTGCTGCCATTCAAATGCTCATGCTCAAGTGAATGCAATTCATCTTGATTTTTCAAATTAGACAAAATTAACACTATGTTATTGCAATTCACACAAATAGAGTCATGAGTGCATGAACAAGTGAAACTAGGCAAAGATGCAACATCATCCAAGCTAGGAGGCATAGAAACCTCATCAATGATTCCATCAAGTGTATCATCCAAACTAGGCAAAGATGTATTTCCTGCAATGCTTTTTCTCTTCCCTTATAGGCTTGATTGTAGCTCAATCGCACACCATACTCTCTATACAAGTCTCTTGCAAGTTCATTGGCACTGTTGTTTATATTAGACCTTAGAGCATCATCTATGATTGATGATGTTAATTTTGACCTTGTTGGGTGTGACACAATTAGTTTATCTTGCGCATTGTGGATGTGATCATTGTTGAATTTTGTAACCCTTAAAATCTCAATATCTTTCCCTATTGAATATGCTGCAATGTTCCATTCACAACCCTCCACCTTGTAATATGCAGTGATCTTGTCTTTGTTATTCTTCTTAAACTCATATGAAAACTTGTAGGAGATGCTATATTTGCATAATGCTTGTCTAAAGGCATCAATATTAGAAAAAAATTGCCCTTTACAAACCATTTCATAGAATTCATTTCAAGTATTGGTGTAGTTACCATTTGTACAGCGCATTCCAATTCCGAGTCTTCAATCTCAGGATAAATATTTAGTGGAGACAAAGAGCATCCATTTGAAACTCTCAATAAATCATCAATCTTGCATTTAATGACAACATTAAAATTGTACTTTTCAATATTATTTACATTAACAAAAAAAATTTACACAACTTACACATGTTGGTTCTCTAATGGGCAATTCATTAATGCTTTTATGGTGTCATTCCCATTTGCAACTACATACACATGTCCACTTTGTTTGTTATATTTGATCAGATGTTCTACTTCATCATCATCAACTAGATCTACAAGTGTGCTTGCATCAATGTTGACTGTAAACTTTAACTGGATTATATTGCTTTCATTCTCTATAATTGATGATATCATTCTTGTCAACTCTTCATATGTTGTCCCTTCCTTTATTGTTCTTATTCTAACACTCCCTCCAACATATTGCATACTTTCTTGGTCATCATTTTGAAAATGCCCCTTATATGGAAAAAAACATAATATATGTTTTCTAGAAGAACTTGCCATGTTACAGGTCAATCTGCACCACACACAGTGTATTGACAACTAGACATAGTGTATTAACAACACATTTATCCACTATTGACAAGACGCAGTGTTATTCAAAGTAGAGATTTTTTAACAAAACAAGCTTACCTCAGATGCTTGGAAATAATATATAAAATGTCCTATATGAAAAAAAAAACATAACATAAAACATGTTTTCCAGTAGTACTTGCATTCTTATAGGTTCGCTTGCATAGTACAATGTATTGACAACTATTCATACCATATGGACAACACAACAAAATACTATTGACAACATGTAAAGTTATTCACATTAGATACTTGTCAACATATCAGTGTTGCACCAGATTATTCCATATATTAGCTATGCAAACTGAATGATTGTAGGTATACCCATAAAGCATTATCCTACCCTTAAATAATAATGAAATCATTAACGCACAAGAAATTATTTATCCAGCCAACAATGGATATGCTGCTGTCAATTGGTAATTTATGTAATCGTTTACGGCTAACAATTGTTTATCTAAAAAAATTATTTTCTGTCGATAAAATGTTGCTGTTGCAGAAGAAACACTCCCAACTGACTTAAATGAAGACAAGGGCTGTAATCATGGATATGAGGAAGTGAAAATTATCCTATCGTGATCGACAGTCATGGATATGCAGCAACCTTCAGTATTGCTGATCATGGGTTTCGTGAGACATGCACGCACAAGCAAAATCTCCTTTTTAATGCTAGAGGGCAAATGGGTAATTTTATTTTCAAACTTATTCACCCTTAGGCTCCTAAGGACCTGACAGCTATTTTTTGAATTCATGGGACCTCAGCATATTTTAACTGCTTCTATGAGACCTTAAATTAATTTTTCCATTTTTATTTTGCTTCAACTTTAAAAAAGTTAACATTTTGCCAAAAAAAAAAACGAAAGAGGGTGTAATGACAAAAAAGTTAAGTTAAATTAAAATTTACATTTAGATAACATAACTAAATTGTATTTCATAAATTTTTGGGTAAATTTTGGCAACGCGAATGGTTAGGCTCAGTGGTAACCATTGTTGGTGTATGCAATTGCTGGTTCGAATCATTATGGTGTGTGCAGGGAGATTTTACTTTTGCCTTGCCCAGATTTTATTGTTGCCCCCACTTGCCGCATGAAATTACCCTCATGCCCTCTCTATGTCTGAGATTAAAATATGCACGCAGGCACTAAATCTCATTTCATCGCCATTCTCTGAGTCGGTCCAAAAAAATCAGATAGCCGAATCCTCCCCTCTTTCCTTCCTCTTCTTTTCTCTCCCTGCTCATCGGCGTGCTGCGTGTCGCCGTTTGTTCTGCTGCGGTGGATTCCGGCAAGATCCCAGTTTCTTCGTCCTTCCTTGCTTCGCGTTGACAAATTCTCCTCTTTTGATCCAGCGTTGCTCGTTCCTTTCTCTGCTTGTTTTTCGTCTATGTTGCAGAGCATTATCTAGTTTGTAAATCTTCTCCCCTGTTTGCTTAGTTCACTGGTGTAGGTGAGAACTTCTTTTGTTTTTTTTTTCTGCCACGTTTTGATGTTGGCGGCTGCTGTGTATGTGTGTGTTTTGGATGGCTGAAAACTGAAATTATGATTTGCCCTTCCTTCGTTCCTTATTTAATCCCTTGGTGAGTTGAGTCCAACCTTCCTTCTCTTCCTTGCATTGATTCTGTTTGTGTGTGTATCGAATGGGGTTGTTTTAAAACTAATAAAATTGATTCTCTTCTTTGTTCTTGCTTGATGCGTGATGGAGAGGTAACTGGGATACATGGAAGTTGAAAACTCAGATTTTTAAGAGCATGATTTTTAATATATGATTTCACTATAACTGTTTGGTTAATGCTTCAATAGATATATTTTTGTTTTGTAACTTTGATTGTTTTTATTCCCTGGTTGGAGGTAAGGCTCCGTCTTTGGGCCATGAAATTAATCCCAATGCCAAGTGAATATAGTTCGCAAGGGAGGTTTTAGGTTGTGAGAACTACTCAGCCAACCATGCACTTGGATCTTTGTTTGCCATAGAATGCATTCCCCATTTACGTTTAGGCTATTCTAGAATTTATCGGAGGGATAGGCAATTATTTTATGGATTACTTGTGTTTTGTTTGGTACTGTTTAACTTTAATCTTTAAAGTGATTTTGCTTACCTTTGTAAAGCATATAAGGTATCTGGTAAAAGTTTTCATGGAAAAATTTAGTGTAAATTTATATCTTTTAACTAGGAAGGGAAGTTGGCTGAAAAAAATCTAGGAAGGGAAGTTGTTTCTTTGCAACTCCAAGGAACTATGGTTAAGATGGAATGAGAAAAAAAATTAAATTAGTTGTATATGTAAGACAAGAGCTGGAAATTCGTGCACATGATGTGTTCGATATAAGGCCTAAGTGAAATTATCTTTCAAATTGAGAAGTGGGCTATGGATAAAGTATTATGGTGAAACTATTCTGTGCAAATTCTAGTAGTCGAACTTCAAAAGTCTCGGTAGTTAATTTTTGGGCAATATGATGATGTTTAGGAAACCTTAAGATATGAGTTGTGGTGTTTGGAATTCTGAATGTTTGCAGTTGGATGGGGTTGTGTTAGTATTGAAAGCTGTTTATAATTTTTAGGAAGTTAATTGAAGTTTCATTTAGAAACATATGCTTAAGGGTGTGTGGAAGAAGAGGACCTTGATAAGAATTGAAAAGAGAAAAACTTCAAGACTTGGGAACTTAACAAGTAAGTAGATAGCACTCTAGTTGATTTATAAGCTAATCCCGTTTTAGCAAATATTGTTAAATTTTCACACACATATTAATATTAACTTCAATTTATAATATTTGTTATTTTGACAAGAACTAATTTTATTTTATTAAACTTTTAAAGAAAAAATAAAATTGTTTTATGATTGATTTTTTTTATTTAACATATGGATAATGTTTTATTTTTGAGTTAAGAAATTGTTTGTCATTATGAATCATGTGTGGAAGATTATGGGTGAAATTGTTTTATGATGCTTATGATTTCAAGAGATTAAAATATTGATTTTTTTTACACATATGGAAGCTTGGTTTAAATTAAGGGATTGAATCAAAACGCTGGTTGCTAACAACAACCTTGTTAGCCCTTGGGTCAAACTCTAACTAGCTTGGTATTCATGGCCATTATACTCACGTTTGTTATTCGTGAGCTTAGTACTCATTTGATATTCATTGGTTTCTTGTCTGTGCTTGTTTCGTGGCTTCTAACTGCACTTGATTATTTTGTGACTTTATGCCACACTTATTGGTTACTTATCCTTGTGGACTGTATGTCTAACAGAATATGAAAGGGGGTTTTGCTATTGAACTAAAGTTAAGATGTCAGTTTGGTTATACTCTCTATCTTGATTTAAAAATTTGGATTTAAATGTTGTATTTTATAAATCATATTTTATGTGCTTCATATAAACTATAGTTAGGATTCTCATTCACTACCTTTATTGTTGGTCTGGTAGTAGGAACTTAGCTCCATGTTGATGCTATTTTGTTATGTGAAAATGTTGTTGTATAACTCTTGGGAAGTCTTATTTGGAGGGGAGGTTTTGCCGAATTTTTTATAGAAATTCATGACTTTTGTTATTATAAAAAGCTTATGTTAAATAATCTAACTCTGTAAGATAGATGCACTTACATTTATAATTAAGAATTTCTAAAATTAAGGCTTAAGGGATGTGAGTACTTGTGCACATCCCATGCTAGTCATGCCTAAATTTTGGTGCATAACAATCACTTTTTCATCACAATTACTCGGTAGTGATTTTGGTTAAGATGATGCCCTATATATGAAAGATGATATAGAGAGGGGTTTTGTATCATAAAGAGAAATAGATTTCAGAAACTAAGAAGCATAAATTCAACAAGAAAAAGAAAAAGATTGGCTCAAGCATGGATACTTTTTATTCTAAATACTTTTTATGTTTAATCTCCTCATTTGTTATCTTTCTATATTCATCTCTTGTGCAATGATTGATGTTTTACTTGTATGTTTGGATTTTATTTTAGGTAAATGGCATCTTCACACGATGATGATGCTCTGTATAATGAGAATGCTTCACATGATGATGATGATGCTCCGTATAATGGGAATGTTTCACATTATGATGGTATAGTAGTATGCAAGGAAAAGAATACGCGTGGTTTGACCATAATGAAAGAGGTGATCCATGCAAAGAGTTGGGGGCGGAAACTAAACATTGCATGGAATGCCAAAGGTCAACCCATTAACCCTGGAAGATCTAGATTTGTGAGTTATATTGGGGTTGTAACTCGGAGAGAGGTGCCCATCAGTTATAATACTTGGAGAGCGGTCCCACGATCAAACAAGGAAGCTGTTTGGGAAGAAATAGAGGTAATATATTTACTTTGTTTTTTTTTTTTTGTTTTTTTAACATGGACAAACTTGCTTTGATTTTTTTATTATTTTGTTTTGCAGAGTTCTTTTAATATTGATGCAAGTCGGAAGAAATATGTGCTTGGAACAGCCAGCAGACAACTTAGATCATTCCGAACAGTCCTTACAGCCAAATACTTGAGAGATGCCAATGGGAAAATCATTGAGCACCCACCTGCGAGATATGCACATTTGATAAAGCAGGAAGATTGGGATGCTTTCATTGGGAGGCGTAAAGATAAGTCTTTTAAGGTAATTATGTTGTACGGCATTTTTTTCCCTTATTCATGTGCACCAAGTTTGAATTAATGGGAACAGTATGTGTTCAAGTAGAAATTAAGCGAGGAAAACCGGCAAAGAGCATTAGATCCACTTTATCCATACAGAAGAGGGCGCGTGGCATATGCTGACCTGGAGCAACAGCTGGTGCGTACAAATATATATTTTATTGCAAGTGTCTCTTTTGTTATATGTTTTTGTGTGTGTGTGTGTGTGTGTGTGTGTGTGTGTGTGTCAATGATTATTAATTGTCCTAATCCACAGATCGCACAGCAAGGATCACAGATAGTTACCTTATCCCGTCATATTCTCTGGAAGGAAGGCCATGTCAATAAGGAAGGCCAAATTGACAATGAAAACGTCCAACGAGTTTGGAAAGAATGTGTAAGTTTTCTTTGTCTGAATTGTAAATTATGTGCTACATTTGTGTTTTTAAAAACTATTTTGTAAGTCAGTTTTTTAAATATTTTTTTTTTCAAAACCAAAAAAAAAAAATCTGTTTATGTCTATTTGAAAACAATTTTAGAGTTCAGAAATTGGTTGATAATGGTGCCTGTCTATAATAGCGATTGGTTATAGTTGAAAGTAGTTTAACAAAATCAGATGTAATGTGCTTTTAAAAACGAAAAACAAAAGAAAAACAACGTTTAGGCGTTTCTATTTCTGTTTTTAAAAACAAAAAAATGAGAATAGTTTTCAAAACATTTAGATCCAAAATATTTACTTAAACAATTTTTTTTCGTATACAAAAATCAAACATGCCCTATATCTTTCAATTTCTTTAAAAATGTAGGTTCACTAATAATTAATGACATTTACTTTTCTAATTTATATGCCACAGGATGCCCTATCACAATCTTTTTCACAAGATGAGGCCCCTAAGCACGATGATATATTGGCTAGGGCATTGCATGGTATTGAGCGGCCAGGTCGTGTTAGGGGTCTCGGTTTTGGTGTCACTCAAACAGACTACTTTGGGAAACAAAAGCGTTCAAACTTTCAATCAGAGATTGCAAAAATAAAAGATATGCTTCAGGAACAATCCCAGAAAGTGGAGGCTCTTGAGCAACAAATGCAGGAACAATCCCATTTGAAAGAAATTGTGCAGCAGCAGGCCCTACTCATTCACAATTTGATTCAGATGCAGTTGCAAGTTGTGGGGAAGCAGGCATCTAACCCTAACCCTAACGTAAAAGATAGCTGCACGCCATCATCTCCGAAACCTGTTGAGGAGATAAAAAAGAAATCAAAAAAGAAAACTAGGAAAACAAGAAAATGATTTATAGTTGGTCTTGGTTGTATAGAAGTTTTTTTTTTTTTTTTTTTGGGGGGGGGGGGTTTGGTTGTGGGGGGAGGGAGAGGGTAATATAATCCATTGAATTTGTTTGAAAAGAAAAGGCAAGGTTTTAAAAGCTAAGGATCAATGGCTAGACTCTGATTGAATTGTGGCTGAAGTGGGTGTGATTAATTTATTTTATTTATTTTATAAATTAAATATTACATAAAAATTATATTGTTTAAATTGTTATTTCACTAGATTAATTTAAAAGATAAAATTAATCATGTCTTAAAAATTACTCTAAATTTGTTTAATAGTCTAGAGTATATATTTATTATATGAAGAACACGACGTGTTATTAAGCATTTTTGTAAGGCTGATCAAAATGACATTAAAAAGATAAAGTTTAAAACAAAAATGTAGATAAATAATTAGAAGAATGGAGATCATATTATGCTTAAATTAAAGAGAGCAAGATTTTAAAAAAAGAAATAATCAAATATCAAATAAAAGTATGAAACAAAAACTTGATGAGAGAAAAAACAAAGAATTGAAGAAGTATTGGCGGAAATGCAAATTCGAGAGTACGTCGGACGAGTGGGTGGACAAGCTGTCGTATAAAAAGGGAGTGGGGTAACGTGTCTCTGGGCATTGCATTTCAGGGGCTGAGTTGTAATTTGTTAATATTACAATTCATGGCCCAAAGTAATGGACATGCATTTTGTCTTTTTTTGTTTTTTTAATTTTGCCTTTAAAAGAAAAAATTGGTTCTGGTTCCGCTCAGGCAAAGAACCAAACTGTTTTTGATTGTTTTGGCTGGTTTTTTACTAGTCATTGATTGGTTATATGCTTCTTTGGTTTTGGTCATACATTAGACCGATTTTCAGCCCAACCGGTTTTTAAGACCTTGAACAAAAATTGAGTCATTTTTATTTAACCAAAAATTACATGATACATGAAAATATATTTTGTTGTTTTGCACAATAAAATCGTTGGAAATATTGGACCATGTTGTTTTGTACAAATTCAGTATTTCGGACGAATTAAGACAATGAAAATATCCAATTTAATCACACTCAGGTTCACTAGCAATATTAATACAACAACAACAAGCAGCTTTTATCTCACTAGCAATATTAATCATAAAAAGAAATTTTGGAATAGCCATTATCATCATGGTAATATCAACCAGGTTCACCAATGAAGAGAGATGTTGAAGGATGATGACTCATGATCCAGGTTGCACTCTCTGTGACTCACATCATGTCCCTGAAAGCATAGACCACGTGTTTTGAGACTGCTCTTTCTCTACTCAAGTTTGGAAGAAAATTTTACCAGCTGACTCATTTCAGGAATTCTCTAAGATTGGCACTAGTGTTTGGCTATTGAACACCTTAAAATCAGCATCTCTGGACATCTCTTAGAAAATAGGGATCAACATTATCTACTGGAAGCTTTGGGAAGCAAGAAACCTGCAGATTTTCACTAATGATGCCCTCACAGTGGACTCTTTTCTCATTCGGGTCCTTGCAATTGTTAATGTTACTATTAAAGCATTTTCTACTTTTACCTCTTTGATGTAATTTTGTTCTCTTCGTTTTCTGGTTTTGCCCTTTTGGATGCTCTGTACAGTTCTTTCTAAGTTAATGCAATCCCCTTTTCCAGAAAATATCAACCAGGTTCACCCAATATGACATGGTTTCAAAAATGACTGACAATGATCTATATTGATTTGATAAAACCATGTAAACTTGTTGCCCAAGCTTACGCCTGTCTTGTCAATCCAAAAAAAAAAAAAACTGACTGGCAATAACATGTCGAAAGTTGCCTAAAACCTCTGAATCACACGAGAAAATCTTGAAAACTTATTATTGGCCTAGAATGTTAGAATTGTTAGGGCCGTCAATTAGGTTAAGCCTGAAAACATTTAAGATTGACCGCCTTTTTGAAGTCTAAAATGATAAATCGTATTTAAAAAGACTGACTCTTTTAAGTTCAAAAATAAAAAGGCTAACCTTTTTAGACCATTTTATAGAGTTGACTCTGTGAGGCTGTAATTCTGTGACTTGCGAGTGGTTGCGGTACTGCGATTGCGACTTTGCTTTGTCTGTCCTTCCTCTATGTCTCGCTTTGTTTATCAACTGGCTCCGGCCATGGCCAACAACGGCAACCCTCCTTTCCTCTATGATCTGTCACTGTGCCGTGCTTTGTCCCCCATCCATGCTCAGAGCTCGAGTCATCTAGTCCATCCCTCATCCATAGCAGATTCATAGTCTCATGCTTGATGTGTTGCTCACTGCAGATAATTATGAAGAAGAAGGAAGATATGAAAAGCTAAATACCTTTGCTATTGACGAGGTTTCATAAGGAGAAGGAACAAATTATATTAATTTTGATAATAATGAAACTCATTAAGATTTAGTTGATGATGCTAGCAAAGTATAATTATTATTAGTGTTGATTTTGTGATGATGTTACTTTTAATGAGACTTAAATTTATTATCATGTGTATTATCTTAAATTTTTTATGTTAGACTTAATATTATGTGTAATAACTTTTTAAAAATTTCAAATATATTTTTTAAAATTTTAAATTGAAAAACTGAAAAAAAAAAAATTATATAGGACTGAAGCCCTAAGAGCTAGGGCTGGGCTAACCAAAATGATATGCTAAAGTGAAATCAGATTTAATAAAGTCAACCCGTTTAGGCCTTGGCCCTTCAAGGGCTGGCCTATTGACAGTGTTAAGAATCATTAATGAGAATCAGACCAAAATTTTATGTCCAATGAATGCATCTCATCGGAGGAAATTAGTTGAATTTTTTTTAAAAGCAAAGACAAATTTTATTTTAAACACAACATATATTACAGATGAAGAGGTACAAGTCCAGAGGAAAATTCTCAAAAGGCCCGTACTAGATAAGACTTCACAATTACTACTCCCGTCCCAAATATAGGGTACTTCCTAAGAGAATTTTTTTATTCTTAATATAAGGTACCTAATGAGGGTATTAATTCATTTTTTTAATGTTATCTCTATTTAAACTTATTAACTATGAAAAAAATGTAATGTAAATTAAAAAAATTCATTTAAATAGATGTAAGAATAGAAGTTTATTATATTTTCAAACAAAATTAATGATTTAATCACCTCTTCTTATGATAGAGAATCAAAGCCATACTGATAATATATATGTATTATCTGTTTCTAAACTTAGACATGTAGAGAATGGAATTGGTACCCAAGTATCAAGAACTTCAGGTTGATGCACACTTAATATAGATGCCCCATATTCTCCAAACCCATTTTAAATTGTAATTAACTTAACAAGGGAATATAGGGGAAGATGTGTTGCATAGTTGCAACTTCAGTGGCAGCCAATAGAAGAACTAATAAGTGAAGGAGTTCTTTAACAAAATGTAAATACCAATCTTCCATTGGAACATCTGGGTCAAACAACAAAGTCTGAAATGTGGGCAAAGTGAAAAAATTAGCATAACAATATAGACTTATCGAAACTTAAAGTTTTCAAGTAAATAGTTGCAGCACCAAAAAGATGTGTGCTCAAGTAAATTGGACCAAGATCAAGAACCGATAAGAGGAATGATAGCAACCACCCACAGCACAACTTGAGCAACCTTAATATTACGGTTAAGTTCGTCCGGTTGTGAACATAAATGGCTCAGATGCATGATGCAATTAATTCTTTCAATTTTTCCTCCTCTAACCATTCTCATAATAAACCGATATTTGGTTACAATCCCTTGAAACCCATGACAACCTGACCAACGTAGCTCGTCCAAACTAATGGAGACCAAGTGTAGGGCTGACTAAATGAAAATTTACAATAAGAAGCAAAAAACCCCTAGAGCTTAAAATCTCCAGGGTCAAATACCAATGGACAAATTCATTTTTACCCATGAACTTTTTTTAATGAGCGTTGGGTACTCTGTACTGAAAAGTGAAGCAATTTTTTTAAACCATTTTTTTATAGAGTAAAAAATCCCTTCCATTAGTCATTCATTAACTTTATCATTTGCTATTGACGTGGTATATGCACAAATATTTTTGAAGTGCTTAAAACTTGTCTTAGCCATACTCACGTTGTTTGGATGTTGCCCACCCTTTTTTCACATTAGCCTAGAGGCACCCATGTGAGTTTTAATATTTTAGAGAGGCATATGCCTCTGCTTATCTTATCCTCACATTGTAAGCTTTGTACCCATGCGTGTTCTAGCATGAATTTATTTGGACATGTTACTGAGCTACTCATCCTTGCATTAGGAAGGCTAACCCACGTGAGTTTTGGGTTCCTATAGAGCATTAAATGCTGTTTGAAGATAAATTGCTTTTGCTCAATATTTATTCTCATACTCACAATAACCAAGTCTAAACGGCTAGTTGAGGCTTCCAGCACTCAGAATCATCCCCACATTATAAATAGAACTTCATTTAAATGACTGGATAATGAATTGATGATACATTAACTTAACTCTATCATCTTTTCATAAGTTTTTGAAAAAGCTCTTTGTTTTTGGTTTATAGGAATTAATTGTCATATTTACTCTCTGAAAGAGTTTCTTTGAGTACTCTTCAATATTCCTATAATCACTTTGAAGAGATAATCTATATTAGGAAACATTATTTTATTATTCTTGAGAGAATTAAGGGAAGAGTTCCCTTGTTGTAGGTTTAGATGGAGATTTCTCTGTGTAATTGTAAAGTGCTTATTGTCTTTAAGTAGAAGATTATAGAGGCTCACAAGTGCCTGTTTAAACTTGTGGAATTTAGTTGAAAAAAAATCTCATAAGTGTTCAGAGGACTGGATGTAAGCTAAGTAGTTGGGTTGAATTAAGATAAATTGCTCTATGCAATATCTCTATTTCTACTCTTCACGTTAAGTTGTTAATTCATTTTCTCTTGATTATTGGCTTTGGAAAACCTTGTTATAAATAATTTTCAATACTTTGTTTTGATAACTGGATATGTCATCCATGCTTTAAATTCTTTCAAAGTTTCGTTAAAGCTTTTGTAAGCTGTTCTTATAAGTATT